AAGAAACACCGTATACGACCGCACAGAAACGACAACGACGCACGACGTACATTCAGTTTAATGCATTCACAAATTCGATTTACTGTCGAAGCTGCACAACACAACAACAGAAACAGCATCCCGCGAAACAATCAAACTACACCTCAACTCGTACAGCTCCGACCGAGCAACGAAACCGAACCGTGAAAACGGGAACGTATACCGGTAAGTTGAAGGAAACTTACGTACGAAAAACGATAAAACCGTCAGGCGTTATACAGCCTACCTGCTGAACACCTCTTGAAGAGTGAAAATGTATTAATGCTGATCCGTTGTCCGCAGCATAACTCGGATCAACAACGAAAACCACTCCCAACCACCAAATCAAACGTGGCGTTACTGACCGATCGCAGATCTCTGATTGCATATATGCATGTCTCACACAGACACGCGTGATTCAGGCTCGTGGTTTTCAACCGCTGTTCACAAATAATCGTACAAAAAACGACAGATGTGCTACGTTGTGTCGACAGGACACCATCCATTGCATAGTTTCTGCTTTAGCTCACATCTTTAGCTGCGCTCAGTCCTGTAGAGCTGCCGGCTGCGGACCAAAAGGAGACTAAGCCAGAGAATCGGATAACCGAGACCAGAGCTGGAATCGTGAACGATCCTGAGGCAAAATCTGTCGTCCATCTTCCATCATCTATCATTTAGTGTAATTCTGAGGATCGACGTTTAAAAGCTTAAAATAATAAAACATTTAAGAGTCAACACAGAGTCGACTATCAGCAAGATCAGCAAGAACGCGAAGAATGCTGAGTTGAAGAGGAAAGTTGACAGGATGCCCCTTCCTATTCCAGCTGAACAGATCAGGCACCGATGCAACACGGCAGTACTTTGCAAAGACGTGTGTGGTATGTCATGCATATTCTTATCTCCTATCCTTTTAATGTCATTGCATCGATGAATGTCGCCAAATTCCGTATATTCCAGCTGTATCGAATAACTGCGTGCTCATTCTTTAGTCCTTTTAATGCCATGTCAACTGTAACGAGATCTCGAAAGTTCATTATGACTGCCGTTTGTCAAATGGCTTTGCGTTTAGTACTCGCTTGGTAATACTGATCAATCACTGGCAATGATCCGACCACTATAAATGCTTTGCTTGCAGCCAGTCTGCCATTTTAGTTGGATATTCTAATCTCTGGCTACAACATCATTTGACACCAGGTCGCACTTCTTCATTTCTAATATTTATCAACAAATTTATAATTTCGTCGCTTTCAATATTCTGTTTTCAGCGTTGTTAAGTGTTGCTGTCTCTTGATCAATGGAGAAAGATGTTCAGAATGCAATGAAGCTGTATATCCACAGGATGGTGCTATTGTCAACATGTTTATCCTTCTAGAGCTTGAATAACTCGTAGTAGCTTGTTGCTAATGCCACTTCGCAGTGCCGGTAAGCCTTCCTTGTCACTCGTCCATCTGCAGCTAATATATTCACCTCCCCTCCAAGGAAACCAATCCTCTGGTACCTTTTCCACAACTTCGCTGTAAACGGTTAGACAGACACTGGTCTCGGTTTTGTATATATTATATGTGCCGCATAAATTCTTCCAGGTTTTGTTCATATTCCAATGGATCAGAAGTGGAAGATTCACAGGATTTACGGTCTGTCAGGAAGATCTGGGCCCTATTAAAGTGACGCAAGATATCGCAGAGAAAAATCACCAACTTGACAGTCCAGCTCAGACGAACCATCTCACGCAACAACAGATATCTAATCTTCAATGACTTGACAATGTGCAACGCGCCAACAAAAACGAAGATCCGTTACAAGCCAATCTTCTGCCTATACGATCCACTGTGCCGATGCCAGATGCCTCAGAAATCCACAAATAGTACGACAAAGTTGTTCAAGAAAATGCACTGTCGACCTGCCGCTCTAGCATAAGGCTTGTCATTGCCTGTCGCGCATCTGCTGGATATTAGGATACTTGCATCTTAATCTACTACCTTTACGTAGTACGCCCTGTGAATGCTTCTGGGTAGCAGACACCAATCTCTTCTAGACACCATATGCAAATAAACCAACCATACTGCTAGCATGTAACAAAGCAAAACAAACCCTCTGCATCAAATGCACCTTTTCATCGCTCCAGAGTCGGGTCTGGTGTTCAGAGGGAACTTCGCCATCCCATAGTGCGGAATGGAGAAACACCAAAACTATCTGGGTAGTTGAATTGCGTAGCATTCTTTCGAAAATGGCCCGGTTAAAGCCTTCTCATCATCAGCTCTGCGAATAAAACTTTTCTAAACAATTTTTTCTTTAGTCTTCCTTGGTGTCCCCTGTGCCCCATTGCTAATAGGCAGACTCCTTTGTTTGCCCGCTCAAGGAAAAAATTGCTGAACTTTTCTCATAAATCGTTAAACTAAAATTCGCACGGAAACTAAGTCTAGTCATAAATGGCACGGAAGCAAAAATTTAAGCGTTTGAAAGGCATATTTATCCGCTCAACTTTAGCACCGTCTGACGTTTTTTTATCCAAGAAACAAATATGTGATGCATGGACATATATATGCCCTACGACATCGCGGCAGGCGATGTGACCAACGGTCCCTGGAATGACCAGAGCAAAGCAGAGCATCAGCGGTAAGAAACAGAATGAATACAACCTGAACACTGTACCCCACGCCGTGACTGCAACAATTCTGCAGGGTACGAACCGTAGCATGCGAGATGCTGATTCTTTAGAGAAACGGAGACGCAAAGACAAGAACAACTGCCCTGCTTAGACACATCAGTCAGTCAAACAGGATATCAAAATCCTGATTATGCCATTCCTCACGATTAGTTACAGAAGGCAAAGTTCAGACATGCGATTGGTCGATGAAATAGTATTTATTGCGATATTTCAAGCAGACACATAAAAACAGACAGAGAAAGACATCACTGCGGTCAACCAGTGATGGACAGTGGCCGAAAAACATACTGCGACAAAAACGACAGCGGATAGCGCTGAAGTTTAGCAAGCCGCTACAATGTCAACTTTTGACCTCATGCTGCAAAAAAACGGTGACCGCGTGACTGCGATTCGTCTATGTCTAAGAATGGCAAGAGTTTGCATGATAAAAGTAGTTTCATTTTTAGCGTACGAATGATACAGAAACACGTACGAACAAACAATGCTGAACACTGATATGGAAGTTGTGCTTTTCATCCAGATGAACTGTAATGATACGGTGGCTGTTAGCTCAAACATGATGCCGATGGAACCCAAACACAGACAGACCCTTATTTTACTTTCGGTCAAACAAAGCTGATAATTATCACCGCAAACATTGAACACTGGAAGTACACTGGAAGATAATTAGCAGCAATTTTGTGATTGACTTTCTTAGATGTTTCGAAACCTTATTTTATTTCAGCATAACTCCAAACAAACTTATCCTACCTCAGTGCTGTAAAGTGAACAAAATCCTTTATCTCACACTTGAAAAGGACGCAGTCGAGAAGTTCGTAATTTGACAAAGAGCTGAACAATGATAGAGATCGAAACTGCCAAAAATTTCATTTTGTCGTGCAATCGCCGAGTAATGCGGTAAAGGAAATAGCAGGCACACTCTGAGATACAGAACGGTCTACCGGTCATAATGCGTGCGATTGAAAACAGTATGCAATATAATGACGCAACGATACACAACAGAAAACCAATACTTTCCTGCGGTAGCCCTGATTGTGACGATGAATATAACCCTTGCATACTATAAATCTGAAACACCGTTTCAAACCATCACACATCATAGATCTGGCTTATTCACTATTTCAAGTTCTGTTAGCATTATATGAGACATGAACAACAATCCTATATCCGCGCTTTAGTGATAATGGTAAAAGTGAGAACACCTTATAACTTTCATCGCTTGAAGGTAGGTACTCAGAAAACTTTAGTGTTGTACTCGCATCAAGAATCGCACCAGAGCAATCCAGTCCAACCTCGTCTCAGCCTACATGCTTTGCGAGAAAAAAGACGTGTAAATCTTACGGTCCTAAGATAGTACGGTCTGTCTATAATCGAAATTAGACGGCATATCATTTAAAATTCAGAACTAGTTGACTTGATGCAACACAAACTGCATAATTATAGCCACGAGTTTTGATGATTGTTGCAGAAAAGCATTTTTACTTAAATCGTTTTGAAACGAAGTCTATCAACACAAAAAACGACGCCATTCTCGGAGATCCGTACTACAGTTAGTCCACAAATTATGTGGGTAGGATAGAAAGCTGTAAAAAGTTTAATTAAGGCCATAGCTGAAGTGCACCTACAAAATGAAATCCGCTCTGATATTCTCACAATTAGCAGAAACATACTTAATTAACCTTCTTAGAATAACGAAACCGTTAAATTAATTTTCAGTATAACGCGAACATTCATTCGTCGAAGTTGTTTTTTAAGTAGGGAGTTTTGTCGAGCAAAGGTACTGTTAACATGCCTTTGAACTACGACCCGTTCACACGCGTGCAGGCCATAGTTTACTCGGCTGCGATCTTTAGCAGAGCACGAGCTGAAGGTTTACCTTGGAAGACGCCAGATCAGGATAATATGGTCGTTTTCAAACGGTATATGTTGCATCTCGCCATCTTCTACGTTGATGAACTCGTCACTCTGGCTGCACTTGACTATTCTGTCCATGCACAACAGAAACATATAATAGGAGAGAACGCACCTTTAACGGTGACCATGTCAATGGTAAAAAGTCTCTGATTCTGCACTTGCTATTAATATGTAGTGACTGGAAAGTTTATAACACAGGGCCCTCACCTGATACCTCTGCAGCCTCGCCCAGAGCTTCTTACGCCGATTCCTATAATCGGCCTTTTTTAGGTTTACAAAGCAGAAGTTAACTGAATAAACAAACTTCTACAATTT